CCCCCCCCCATTTTTCCAACGCACACCATAACCACCCCTCAACACATCTCTCTCTCGCTCCCCCCCCCCCCCACCCCAAACACAAAATATCTACAATTTTTTGGAAAACTCGCTTGACGATGTGTGAAATATCCGGGGTCAAAACATGGAGGTCACAATGGGGTCGCGGCACTGACTGTCATGATGATAGAAGACATGGAGAGTTATACTCATGTACTTTGCTGTATAGATAGATAGATAGATAGATAGATAGATAGATAGATAGATAGATAGATAGATAGATAGATAGATAGAGAGAGAGATAGAGAGATAGAGGGAGAGAGATAGATATTCATACATTATTTCGGGTGTTCCTAGTTTCTGTGTAAGTGTGTGTGGGTGTGTATGCGCCCGCACGCGTGCGTGTGTATGTGTGTGTGAATGTGTGTGTGTCTCTGCGTGTGTGGATGTGTGTGTGTGTGTTTGTGTGTGTGTGTGTGTGTGTGTGTGTGTGTGTGTGTGTGTGTGTGTGTGTGTGTGTGTGTGAAAGAGTGAATGGAAATGTATTTAGGCGGGTGCTCTTCAAGTGAATGTGAAAGAGGGTGTGTTTGTTTATCTGTCTCTGCGTGTGGGTGAATGCATGCTCGAGTGCACAAGTGTGTGTTTGTTTATGTGTGTTCGTATGTATGTGTATGTATGTGTGTGTGCGTGTGTGTGTATGTGTGTGTGTGTGTGTGCGCGCGCGCGCGCGAGTGCGTGAGCGCGCACGTTAGCCCCACAAGAGTTTGCCTGTGTATTGCAGTTTAATGAGGTTGAATGGGGCTGCTAAGGGTTGTCTTCCCTTTTTTACGCCGACCAAACTAAAGACGAGCAGGAAGTGAAAAGGCTGGGGATTTCTATATATATATTCTTTCTGTTGTATTTGTGTGTTTGGGGGGGTGGCTAGGTGGAGGAGGAAACCCTTAATTACATTGTTTGATATGCCACCTCCGTCCCCTACCCCACACTGCTTCCCGTGAAGACTTGAATATCAAAAGAAGTATTTGCCGGACATAGAACGCCAGCAAGGCTTGTTAAAATATGCTTATGTTAGTATTTTCATCATGAATAATACCGATTTTAAACTCCAAGTTTGCATTACTGACCAGCATAATCAGAAAATAATAAAGATTTGATAAATTACGATGATACAGCATGTGACTTGTAGTAAAGGCAAGCGTTGCAATATAATTTTGATGAATGAGGACTCTAAGAAAAAACCAACAGTGTAGCCCCTGGTCAGTTATAGACGTGCTGCCTTTGAAGAGTTAATAATAAATGTAGGCAAACATGTGAATTAAAATTAGGAGAGGAGAGTTGTTAAACAAGGGAAAGTCTTGTGTAGAAGTAAAAACAAGACAGAGAGAGAGAGAGAGAGAGGGAGAGAGAGAGAGTGAGTGAGAGAGAAAGAGAGAGGGAGAGAGAGAGTGAGGGAGAGAGAGAGAGAGAGAGAGAGAAAGAGAGAGAAAGAAAGAGAGAGGGAGAGAGAGAGAGAGAGAGAGAGAGAGAGAGAGAGAGAGAGAGAGAGAGAGAGAGAGAGAGAGGCGAGGCGAGGCTTTAAATTTGACTTGAAAACAAATTATGTTGCAATTTAAACCAAGCGCTATAATTAATTATTGAAAGACTGTCAATTTTGCTGAAACATCCTGCAAGGTTTTTACAACTCTAAAAACGCAGAAGCGAAATATGGGGGGTGGGGGTATTATTGTTGGGTGTTTTCTTTTTGTTTTTTGGGGTTGGATGGAAGCGGTGGAGATACAAGTTCAGTGATAACAACACTTTCCTCTAATTTGTTTACTTTAAATTAATTTCTCGAAATAGCCCTCTTGTTAGAATTTTTTACTTTTTTCAAAGTTTCCACTTGCGATTTGAAAGAAGGCTGGACAGGAGTGAAAATAGAACTCTCTCTCTCTCTCTCTCTCTCTCTCTCTCTCTCTCTCTCTCTCTCTCTCTCTCTCTCTCTCTCTCTCTCTCTCTCTCTTACTCAGTCACTCTCGCTCTCTCTCTCTTGCTCTCTCCTCTCGCTTTTTCTCTCAGTCTGCCCCCCCCCCCTCTCTCTCTCTCTCTCTCTCTCTCTCTCTCTTTTTTTTTTTTTTTTTTTTCTTTCTCCTTTGCTCATATTACGAAAAAAAAAAGGCTTGAGACCAGGTGCATAGATTCCTTCAAGTAGTTCAGGAAACAGATGACGGACGGATATGCCAGATTTGATATAGTTTGCTATCATTACTCTTTGAAAAAGTCACCTGGTCAACAATAATTGTATCCATCGAGTGCTGCAATGGCCTAGATAACAACTGACTATTGTTGTCATATTTTTAGGCGTCTTCTATAATCCTAAATCCTCCATGCGCACAGTAAATGTTCACCCCGTTCCTCTTTAAATGTCAATACATTAAGTACGCCTATGCTATTTTCAAAAAAAAAACATTTCAAAAAGTACGAAATCAAAGAAACATTCCAAACTGCAAGTGTATCTGTTTATTGCAACGTACCTGTTTTGTATAATTACTTATATTTAAGTATAATATTATATTACTTTATATACATATATATAATATTAATATGTGTGTGTGTGTGTTTGTGTGTGTGAGTATGTTAGTGTGTGTGTGTGTGTGTGTGTGTGTGTGTGTGTGTGTGTGTGTGTGTGTGTGTGTGTGTATGTGTGTGCAACTGGGAGGGAGATCGAGACAGACAGACAGACAGCAAGCAGACACTCAGACACACAGACAGACAGACAGATAGATAGATAGATAGATAGATAGATAGATAGATAGATAGATAGATAGATAGATAGATAGATAGATAGATAGATAGATAGATAGATAGATAGATAGATAGATAGATAGATGGATAGATAGATAGATAGATAGATAGATAGATAGATAGATAGATAGATAAATAGATAGATAGATAGAATACGTGAGAGAGAGTGTGTATGTATGTGTGTGTATGTGTGTGTATGTGTGTGTATGTGTGTGTGTGTGTGTGTGTGTGTGTGTGTGTGTGTGTGTGTGTGTGTGTGAATGTGTATGTGTGTATCTGTTTGTGTGTTTCGATGGAAATACATGTACTTTAACACATCAATTCCTTAAATGAAGTAACACGCATTGGTGGTTTCCTGCAGAAGAGGGAGCATGGGGGTGTTCAAGCTCTCAAGAAGAGACCATTTCATTCAATTCATCTTTTTTATACTCGTCCACGTTAGATGTGCAAAAATAGAAGTTATGACCTTGTGGTTACGCTCTCGTACTCTCTCGTGGGTCCGTATCCCGTCAGGTACCCGATGTTATGTGCTTGGGAAAGGCACATTACACAAATTTCCCTTACTTCACCCAGGTGAGAATGGGTACCCGGTTGATGACAACGAAAGATCCTGTCGGTTTGTTAGTGTTCGAGCGTGATATGCAATTCAGCGGAGTGGTTGTGCAAAGGGGAGATTTTGGCCCGACCAATCAGATGAATAAAGTTGGGACAAATAGAACTTTTGCTCGTCAAAATCATCGATACCGTTTTTGAGCACTTTTATATTCCTGTGCAACGGTGGAAAAATCGACTCAAGTCTCATTTTTAGGCTCAGGAAATCAAATTTCAAAGTTCAAAACACAGTAGGCTACTTGGTATTCATTTTTATAGAGCTGTCTTTTATAATGAGTCTCTATCTCATGATGGTAAATTAAGCAAAGGCTAGGGGTCATAATTCAAATAGTAGACGTTTTTGACTGACCGATTTTCCAATGTGGTCTTCGTTTGTGAGTCGAAAGGAAGCCGAACCTCTCCTCTAAGGGAGTTGTATCTAATAGCAGTTGTAGGGGTCAACTTAAGACTTTTTAGACTGAATAGAGAGATTTCTGAAAAATAAAATACTGCGGGTGGTTGGCAGGTACTCTGGTGCGGTTCGCTCCTTTCCTTTCAGACTTCTATTGTCGTTACCGCACCTCCTTTTTGGTGCTAGTTACTGTCTCGTTACACCTTTAATCCCCGTTACTCATTTGATCAAAATGTGTTGCATGAGCCGTAAAACTTTTACCAAAACGAGAAAGAAAACAATTCTGAGAAAATGAAGCAAAATCTATAACTGGGGTTATTCCTTGGGGATTGAGACAAGTATGATAGTCGACACAGAAAAGTTACATTTTGTCTACAACGGAAAGGCAGGGCGGGCGGAAAGAGGTGGGCTTGTTTAGCCTCAGACTTAAATGCAGCTCGAAAGTCTATTGTAAGACCCCTAAATATTTTAGGGGAAAAATGTTTTATTGCTACTCACGCTTCAGTCGTCCCTCTCGACAAAGGAGAAATCACAGGTTATGCTGCCTTACAATCCACAATGAAAAGATAAATGCAGGACAAAAAGAGAGGTAACTGACGACTTCAGCTCGATTATCCTTCTCCCCCTTTTTCCCCTCTACTCTCCTCCGCGCGTTGCCTGAAATCAGCTGTGCCAGGGGGCATGCGCCGCGTGCAGGATGAACGGGAGGTGAGCGATAACGCGATGATGCACATAGTGTGAGTGTGAGCGAAGATAGACCGGGTCTTGCTTGCCTCACCGACACGACAATTAATCTAGAGCTTTTTTGGACGATAGTTGGCCAAAGAACGATTTTAAGAGCTAATAAAGTGGGATTTTTGTCGTTACAGTTGTTGATGCTTTTTCTGATATTGATAATGATTGTTATTATCTTTTTTGTTGTGGTTGTTGTTGATGATTATTGTTCCGGTTGATGTTATTGTGGATATTGTTGATATTGTTGTTGTTGTTGTTGCTGCTGCTGTTGTTGATGTTGTATCTGTTGTAGTCATCGTATGCTATTTGTTTTTTTTATTTAAACTTTATTATCCTGGTCCCCCCTCCCCTCCCCTTTTCAGTTATTTATTTAGGTTTTCTAAGTTGTTTTTGGGCTACTTCATTTGCCTTCAATTTTTTTTTCAATGAGAGCAAGATGTTAAGGCCTTTATGTCGATTCAAGTATCCCAGAAGCTGCATTACTTGTCTTTTTTTTCCTTTCCCTTTTGTAAATAGAGAGCGGCCTACGCGGACTTCTTTTAGCTCTACCTTATTTGACTTATTTTCCTTCAAAGAAATTCTCATAAATTTCTTATGAAACTACAGTTCTGCTGTTTATTTTACTTTTCACTGTCTAAACTGTCTTTGGTTTGTTCAGAATTCAGAGCCGTATACAAGGGTTGACAACAAACACATGGCCTTTTCAAATTCGCGTTTTTGTCGCCAGTGAAATCTTTCTACCGGCGTCTGTGGTGAAGCGTTTATGCGCCTCGTTGTCTCACGCAGGAGAGAATTTTTAAAGAAAATCTCAGTCTTTCTGCTGGGATATTGTATCCCTCTCTGCTCAGGGTCAAATGCTTGCCCCGTAAATTGGGTCAATCGAGGCGTAAAAACACCTACAAAGTAAAAAAGGTCTTCCTATTTTTACAGATTGGAATCATTTCATATAAGTAGTCTTCAACTATATCAAATCTTCGTTTAATTTTAGTGAAACTTTTGGATCGGACGTAATGATATATCCAGGACAAAAACAATATCGTTGAACTTGTTTGATCGTTTCACCTTTTGCTTTTAATATTACTCCTTTTTTGAAAATTACATATCACAGGGCATTCTGGTTTTTTTTTCACATTATTAAAAAACAACCCAAACTTGGGTTCACATTTTTTTACATCAATATCTTGAAGTGGCAAAATGAAATGTATGTCTTGGTGAATCTACAATTAAGACTGTGTTGTCGAGGTATTTGATGTCATTAATATCATCCATTCACTTCGAGACCAATACTTCCTTCTATATTTCTAAGTTTGTTTCACAATATTAAAGGGGTTGGGGGGGGGGGGGGCCTCCCGTGGCCTAGAGATTTAGGTGTTCGCCTCTCATTCAAAATCCCGGGTTCGAATCCGGGTAGCTACGGAAAAAATTCTTCTCATAAAATAGTGTCCTTTCACCTCCTTTTCTGCTCTCTAACAATATTATGTCGTCTGCTATTGTCTCCACTTTCAGCCCCCACCCCCTCACCTCCTTTGCCCCTACCTCTGGGCTCCTGAATCTTTCTTCAGGTTTTCAACTGCTACTCCTTGGCCCCTTCTCACTGCTATCTTTCAGCCACACCCCTTATCTTCAGGTAGGAAAGATCTACACCTACACCTGGCCTTCTCGGACAAGGGCAAAAATCTCGGAGGCCCCGTGTGCAAGTTGCGCACGTTAAAGATCCCTTGGTGATCCAAAATCTATGAGTAGTGAGTAGTCTTCGGCCGCCACCCGGGCAAAATTCAGAATTTCCTACCAACTGAAAATGATTGGTGTGTCCCGCGCGCTCATATGACACTATGCAGTAGCGAGCGCCGTAAAGCACTTACCAAAAAAAAGGAGGTTTTGGTGACAAAATGAACTCATCCTTGTCTAACTTCTCTTTCAATCTGCACATACTCGCGGTTTTTCTCCTCCCGTAGATTTGTCATTTGTTGAGTCGCCTCTGACAGGTGACTACAAAAACTAATCCCCTCCACTTCTCTCTGCTCTGTGCTTCCCTTACTGTGTCCTGCAGCCCCATGGCTGTCCATTCTCGGATTTTATCCTCCCATATCATCTTTTGTCTGCTTCTCCTTCGTCCTCCCCTGAACAATGCCTTATAGGATGGTTATAGCAAGACCTGAAGAACGGGTGACCTGGCCATACTATTTACAGCTTGCGTTGTTTGACCAATGTTAGAAAGTCGGCGTAAGACCCGATTACATTTCGTATGCGTCCTTTCACTTCTTCATTGGTGGCATGGTCTTTGTATGAGATGTTGAGCAGTTTTCGGAAGCATCACATTTCAACAGTCAACAACTCTAACCCTAGGGGTCCTTTGAGAAGGGTACGGTCCGATTTTTTGTCGGGAGGAAGAAAATCGGTCAGGTCGTTTCCGTCTTGTGTGTCCACCAGAACGGACAAGACACGTCTAGTCTGTTGGCCTACTGGCCGTCCTTGTTACAGGGCTATAAATAGTCGATGTCAATGAACCCAAGGCGGGAATAAGAAATGAATGGGGGTTTTAATGAAAATTGGAAGAATTATGTGCTTTTAAACTAGAAGGTTTGCGCGTAAACTTTGCTAATTTTGAGGCGCTGATTACGAATATGACTTTAGAATTTTAATCCGAACTCAAAATTAGAATTTTTCTTTAGATCCAGCGGGGCCTATGGCTCATGAGTCATGACCCGGCCCGCTAAAATCGAGCAAGAGGCTTTCGGACCGACACGTCTTTTGTCGGGGCGTGTCGTGTCGTTTCTGTAGACACAACCAAACGGACTTTTCGCTGATTTCTTAGGAAATAACCGGTGCTCCATTTCAATTATCAACTTTCCAAGAGACGAACAGAACCGGGTCTATTGGTGTCCGTCGCAGTGGACACGGGCCCTTATTCTTCTCTCATGTCTGCCCCAGGGTTCAGCACTCCCATGCGGTACTCTCCCTCAATTATCTTTCAGCAACGATTTGGCCCCATGCACAAATATCTAGATTCGTAATTCTTAGATCCATTCCATCTATGTCTGGTTCTTCCAAAATCTTGAATAGTTCATCAACTTTAACAACAGCTTTTAAGTAATCAATAAAACATAATAAACAAAGATTGTTTGTGTTCCAAAAGTTCTTTCCATTAACACTGTTACTTTACTTTACTTTTTCATCCTCTGTTGTCGTTAAGCGTCGAGGGGAGATGCAGTTTTTTATTGTAGGCCAGCTCCGCAGCTCTTTCACTACTTTCAGTTGTGATGTTATGTTTTCTTAGGGTTTCCTTGACTCCCTCGATTCACCTTTTGCGTGGCCTTCCTTTTCCTTTATAGCCTGAGTGCTTGGTGTTGTAGGCTCTCGAGGCTGGCTGGTCTGGTGACATGCGTAATAGGTGGCCAAACCATTTTATCCTCTGTTTTTCTATGTAACGCAGGCAGTACTCGGTGTCGATAGCTGCTCTTACTTCTTCATTTCTCTGCCTGTTCGTCTTGTGATGTTTAGGGTTTTGCGGAGACATTTCATTTCGCTTGCGGTGATTTTGCTTTCATGGGTTTTGCTTAAGGTCCAGGTCTGGCACTGATAATATAATGTTAGTATGAATATTGATGTGATAGACTGTCTCTTTGTGTCCCTGGACATGTTTGGATGAGAGCTGGTAGGTGACAGCGTTGCTTTTTTGAGTTCGCATGTCTATTTCTCTGTCTATGAACCCGTTTTCAGAAAAAGTGCTGCTAAGATATTTAAACTCCTTCACCTGTTTCAGTTGTTTACTATTGACATGGATGTTCAGGGGACTATGGTTTCGGCTCACTTTCATAACTTCTGCTTTCGAAGTGCTTATTTTCATGTTGAATTTCTCACAGGTGTTGTTGAGTTCGGTAGTGTGATTTTGGAGGCTTTGTTGGTCATGATGAATAAGACATTGGTCGTCTGCAAACAGTAATTCATTTAGGCTTTTTTGGGCTTTTGTTTGCTTCGTGTGTTATTGTGTCCATATATATTATAAACAGGAGGGGAGATAGAACGCATCCCTGTCGTACTCTAGATCTTACTTTGAACCAGTCTGTATTGCCTTCCTTCGTTCTTCCTGGGCTTCAGCTGTTGGTGTATAGAGCTCTGACATTATCTAGCACTGTTATGGTGAGTGTAGTATGTCATGTGGCTTTGTCTGGAACATTGCCATGAATTGTTCTAGAAATATATGATTTTAGACTTTTTTCTTTTTTTACGTTAGTATTTGCAACAACGTATTTTGAGTAGAGTGGATCACAAGGTTTATTGTTCCATGTCTGTGGTACCTGGTGATTTAGGCTAAGCTATAAAGACTGACTTTACCATATTATTATTTTCTAAAAATGTTACTAATGCCATTGATAGAATTAAAGAGCTTTCTTGTTATTTCAGTTCCTGTTTCTTTTAATGTGATAATTATCACTTCAACTGGAGTATCGTCAGGCCCCGTAGATTTTCACTTTTTTCAATGTTAAATGGTAGCTTATAATTTTTCTTTCAGGGTTGGTGATTCACTTACTTTTCATCAATACAGGCGTTTCTTTTCTATTATCTTTGGAAAAAGTTGGTCAATGTATTCTGATCATCTATTTTAGAAACATCCTTTTTCTAATGTGGGTGTTTTACGTCCTTACTGATTCAATTTAGATCTACAACATTCCAGCAGAAAAACCGAGATACTCGATATAAAAATGTCTAGCCCACTCGGGAGTCGAATTCGACTGCCTTGCGTGAGACAGCAAAACGCCTAACCGCTACACCACGGACGCCGGTACATCCTCTTTTGTCCTTTGAAATATCTCCTATTATTCAGCCTGTATTTAAGGTTCCTTTTTTCTCATTTACTTCTTTGATTTTGGAATGCAAGTATTTGCTGATCATGACATTGTGTTCGTGCTTTTTTTTTTTTCCTTCATTACATTTTTTCCTTGTGCACCTGAGGTCTATTTTGGCTATTATAAGG